GTGGTAGTCGATGCAGAAGCGCCAAATGCCGTCCGACTTGCGGACGTGGAGGACCGGCGCCGAGAACGGTGATGTGGATATCCGGATGATGCCCAAGGCGAGCATGAGCGCGCACTGGCGCTCTATCTCGTCCTTTTGCAGCTGAGGATACCGATAGGGTTGGACTGTCGCCGGTGCCGAGCCCGACAGCAGGTGAATGCGGTGGTCGTAGACTCGGGCCGGCGGAAGGCCCCGCGGCTCGTCGAAGAGGTCGCGGTGCTGCTGCAGAAGGTGGTCCACCAGAGGGTGCTCGGCCTCGGAGGTGGCCGCGGCCACCTGGAGCTGGAGCATCGCTGCCGAGGCGCCGCCAATGCCCTCCCACCGGACGCGGCGGCCGAGACGCCAGAAGGTTATCGTCAAAGCGTCGAAGTCCCAGAGGATGGGGCTGAGAGTCCGCAAAAAGTCAACGCCAAGGACGAAGTCGAAGCAGCCCAAGTCGATGTCGGCGCACGTGATGGTGAAGTGCTCGTCGCCGATAGTGATGGGCACGTCTCGTGCAAGCCCATGGCACCGTAGGTGGTCGCCGTTAGCCACGGTGACCCGAAGTTGCTCCCTGCCTGTCGGCTGAAGTGCTAAGCGTCGCATCATAGCCTCAGGCAGGAAGTTGTGGCTGGAGCCCGTATACAGGAGGGCCACCAGGCGGTCGCCGTGAATCGTCACCGGTAAGAGCATAGTCCGCTCATCGCGGATGCCGGCCAGCGCATGGAGCGAGACAACGAGTGTCGTCGCCGGAGCGCGCGACGGCACGGGCTCTGTCGCGGCGGGGTTGCCGAACCCATCGACGGGTGTGTCCTCCTCGACATAGTCGGCCGTCTCCAAGTAGAAGAGGCGCGGGTAGACATGGCCCGGCTCGTAGGGCGCATCGTAGTTAAAGTAGAGTCCCAAGTGGCGGCGCTCGAGCTGCTCCGTCTGAGAGAGTCGACTAAAAGGCCGTGTCGCGGCAGGGGCGGCTGCTGGTGGAGCGGCCGGAGGTGCAGGTGCTGCCGGGGGCGGTCGAGGGGGCTGCTGGCCCCCTCGAGTTGGTGTCGCCTGCTGCAAGGCCTGGACGCGACGCTCGAAGGCCCGAGCATAGTACATGGCCGTCTGGAGGTCCTGGGCCCCCCCGCAGCTCGACGTCCACGCGGATGTGGTCTAGGAGGCCGCCCACGAAGAGCTCGGCCTACTGAAGTGCCATCACACCAGGGCCTGAAAGCGGTCAGCGAAATCCTGCACGGAGGAGGTGAAAGGTAGGCGGCCTAACTCAGCCAGGCGGCTCCCGCAGATCGGTGGCCCAAAATGAAGGAGGCACAGCTCGCGAAAGCGCTCCCATGGGGGCATGCCGCCCTCGTCCTGCTCAAGGGCGTAGTACCACGTCTGTGTCGTTCCGCGGAGGTGGTAAGAAGCGAGCCAGGTGCGATCTGACGCAAGTGTGCGCTGCCCGTGAAAGAACTGCTCGCACTGGTTGAGCCAGTTGAGGGGGTCCTCCGTGCCGTCATACATGGCGATGTCAAACTTGGCGAACCGTGGTGGCGTCTGGGTCGGAGCGCCCTGGCCGACTAGCTCGACGGTGCGGAGCAGCGAGGATGACGGCGCCTGGTCGATGTGGGGCGGCCGGTGTAGGGGCCCGCGGAACCGGACGGCTCGTTGTACTGCAGCGTGGGTACCAACGGTTCCCTGGCCTCCGTGTAGACCGGCAGCGGTGACGTCACGGTCAGCCAGGCCGAAATCAGGGATGGCGACGGCGGGAGGCGGACGTGCTGGATGGGGAGGCCTCCCGGCGGGGACTGCCCGGGGCCGGAGGCGGGCGGCGGATGTGCCGGCAGTGTCGGTTGCTGCTGGACCGGCGCGGGGGCGCGGCGAGGGTCGGCGTCGGCCACTGCGGCCATTGTGGCGCGGTGGCGGGCAGCTGCTGGAGCGACGGCTGGGCCCCGATGAGTGCCGCGGGTACCAAGTACCCGGGCAGGGCGGGCAGTCTGGAGGAGGCGGCTGGCGGCAGAGGTGGCGATGACCCGTACGGACTAGCCAAGAACAACCAGATGCCTTGGACGACAGTGACGAGGTCGTTGAGGACGCCGGTCATCGCCTCCGAGGAGTAGACCAGGGCGCGGTGGCGGTTGATGGCGGCGGACCCGTGGAGGGCGGCGAAGACTGGCCGATGGAGGCACCGGTGGTGGAGCCCAGCGGCTCGGTGGGGAGGGCCAGCGGCGCGGTGGAGAGGATCGGTGGAGGCGCGGTGGTGGTGGGCAGCGGTGGGATTGGTGGTGGTGCCGACATGGTCGAAACCGAGCTACCTGATACCAAGGTGGTAGGAGCTAGGGTTCTACCGGGTCTAGGGCATAGCATGTAGGGGAAAGAGGGAGGAGGGCGAGGGCTGGTGCGCGGCGGCCGGCGGCAGGCCGCCGTCCTTGCGGCTGGTGCGGCGGCGGCGGAAGGAGGAGGCGGCTAGGGCTCAGGGTTTCAGGCTCCTCTGGGAGCCGGGCAATAGAATTGTCTTATTGCTTAATTCTCAAAAGAGTCTTACAACTTGTTTATATAACCACGATGTGAAATAAAACATAGATAACTTGTGGGCTAAGCCCCTAACTAAGCCTGCCCGGTGGGCCTCCTACGGGCATAAGTCTGCCCAGTCATAACGCACACAAAGCACAACACAGCCAGCATGTAGCTTGGAACAGCCAGCATGTAGCCGGGCAATAGAATTGTCTTATTGCTTAATTCTCAGAAGAGTCTTACAACTTGTTTATATAACCATGATGTGAAATAAAACTAAGATAACTTATGGGCTAAGCCCCTAACTAAGCCTGCCCGGTGGGCCTCCTACGGGCATAAGTCTGCCCAGTCATAACGCACACAAAGCACAACACAGCCAGCATGTAGCTTGGATCAGACAAACTATATTTGGGGATTATGGTTGTTAGGCTGATAAACAGAGACATGTTGAGGAAAATACTTAACAAAACCACCTAAGATTATCATAACTGTACAATAACTGCAAGTGGTCATTACGTATGATAATGATACTGCATGAGCAACCCGACCCCCGCGTCCCCCGACCCCCGCGTCGCTCCTAGAGGCGACACGGGGGGAACCCTAGAACTCCGCCGCCGGCCTCCCCCCGTCCCTCTCCTCCCCCTCGCCGCCGCCGAGAGCCGCTGCCGGGCAAAGCCCGGGCAGCGCCGGTGGCGGCGGGGACTCTCCTCGGCGCGGCCCCTCTCCTCCCTGGCCATGGCGTGGCGCTCTCCGTCGGCTGAGCTTGGCGGCGTGGGGCGGCGAAGTTCCGACGGCGGCTTGACGCGGTGGCCGTGGTGGTGGGGTGTTCCCCGTCCGGTGGTGCAGCCTGTGGCGGCGACGGCCGAGAGCCTCGGTCCCTCCCGATCCTGCTCGTCCCGATCTGGATCTGGCCGGCCCGGGTTCGGCCGCTGCTTCCTTCAGGCGCGGCGACGCCGGGCCTCCATGGCTGCTGGGCACTATGGTGGTCCAGGCGGCTGCAATGGTGGCTCGGTGTGGTGGTGGCCGTCGACAGTGCACAGCAGGAGGCGTGAAGGAGCGGTGGTCTTGGCGGGGACAAGCAGTGATGCGGTGAGGCGGACTGGTGCGGTGGCGTATCTGGAGGCGGCATCGTGATCTACCGACCAGACCGGTGGCGGCGCTGTGATGGCTCGGCTAGGATGGAGTTCTTGGCGAGCAGCAAGCGTCAGGCTACCTCTGGGCTGTGTGGCGAGCGGTGGTGCTCTCCCAGTAGTGCCAGCGTGGGAGTTGTCCGTGGCTAGGTACTGGGTCGTCGCAAGGTTGTCCCTTGGAGCGGGTGATAGCCTTCGTCGGTGGTTCGGGCTCTTGCCGGAGGTGTTGGGTGGTTGTTGTCCCTCAGCTAGGTGGATGGTGCTTGTTGGACCGCGCTTCTCTTCGTTGTGCGGTCTGTTGGCGGTCCTCGGCTTTGCAGATGCACGGCGAGGTGTTGCGGTGGCGGTGGTGCGAAGCTACTTGGACGGGCTGTCCAATTTCTTCAAGGTGCGGAGATGTGCGACGATCGGATGAAAATCTTGCACGGCTTTTGTCGGGCCGGCGGTGATGGCACCCGTGGGTGTCGTTCCCCTTCTTGGAGGCGTCGTCGAGGTGTGTTCGGCATTTCCCTAGCTCGTTTGGAGTTGGTTGTTGTCTCCGGGCGAAAGCCTCGATTCGATAGGATCGACATGATGGCGGCGTCCTCGACGTCGCTCCTTTGTTGGGAGCATCATGTTTGGAGACACGGCTTGGTTCCTCGTTGCTTTCCTCCGGTGTTTGCCGTGGTCCTATTTTGATCTTCGGCGGCGCTATGTACGACCGTCGCAGGTGTGTCCAAGACGGTGTCTTTCTCGGAGCTGACTAGTTCTTCCATTCACTTGCCATCTCCTCTTAGGCATACAGAGTGGATGGTGCATTGACAAGTGAAGTTCAGTGAGAGATCGTGGTCTTCGGAGGTGCTAGGCGTTGGTCGAGAGCGGTGTTGTTTTCAGTTAGGACAGACACTTTTGCTTTGTAGATTTGTTTAGCTGTTGGTGGTTGTATTGGTCTTACCGGAGTGTGTTTGTTCATACTACGTTCATTGTTCGCAATGAGCGGCAGTATTCTTGTACTTACAATTCTGCCTTCTATGAAGCTAAGGTACGCCTAGGCGTACTCTCGAAAAAAAGATACTGCATGAGCAATAATGTGAAGATGTTTCCCTAAAAAAGCAATATGTGAAATGGCAAACCCATATTAATAAAGAAAGTTTCAAGCCAAGTGCTGAGGTGTTGTTAGTCATCAACTATTTGCATTGATGGAACAACAAACAAATCATCCTCAAACTTGACAGACCCATAACCACAGAAAAAAAAAAGCAATGCAATGTAGCACCCAGCAAAAATAAAAAGAAAGGGGAAATATTTCATTCTGCTACTACTAACAGATAGTACCTGCTCAAGCATTTCATCACGTTAGCATGTCTATTGAGACAAATCAGATTATGTATTGTACAAAAGTTTAGCTCCAGAGGGTCCACCACCAATGCACCCGTCTACAAGAATAATATGTTAAGGAACCAATGAGATACCAACGAAGAGTCAAATAGGTACGAGAGGGCATTAATAAGATATTTAGATAAACAGAATGCTGCATATTGAGAAAATAATTCATGCCTGGTGCAAAATTAGGAATAGATAAATAAAATAGTAGATAGTAAAGGAAAAGTATCTGAAGTTACACTTAAGATGGTCCATGCCACATTGGATAAAAATGGAACATGCTCATATACTCATAAATGCTAGCAATAAAAGTGATCATGACTATTCATATTAAGATTATCTTTAAATAAATTTAGCCTCAATTCTCTAGCAAATGGACATGTCACTTGCAGCAGGACTCTTCTAAACATAAAAAAACTATTTTGTAACCATCAAACCTAGTCGTCATTGGGGATTCAATATTACTAGCAAGATCAACAAAGATAACCATATTAAATGGCAGAAATATAACCAGATTTGAGCTTCAGAATGTACCAATTGAGCTACCTATTTGACATTTCAATTGGTTCAAGCATGTTTTTCATGTAATTATCTTCAATTTCACAAAACTGTCTATCTCATCTTGAGAAACATTTGCACTGCAGCAGTGCACTAATACCACCATTATGAAATTCTTGAGTATGTCTATTGGCCCACAACAAAAATTTAGTTCGATTACTCTACATAATACTATTTGCTAATCCACCTCAGATATATTATCTTTTCAAATCTTTGTGTGTGTTGTTTCATTCTATGGACGTCCTAGAGTAAACAGGTAAAAAAGTACACAATTCAACAATAACAATACGAGAATATCAAATAACTTGGTTTCTATTTACCTGCAGTATAGACAACTTCGAATGGAAAATAGAGATACCAGGTGCTGGATTCGAAAACTTTCTTGATCTGCAATGATTCAAACTGGACCGTGAAGACGCCGACAGATGTCCACAATAACACCACATTATTGTCCTCAGCAAACCCGAGTATCCTTGGGCGCTCTCTCTGCTTCTCTGAATTCAGGGAAAGTAGCTTGTCCAATTCAACAGTTTTTCCCAGCACCCATGAGGCAACACCCTTCCAATCGGTCTTCCTCTTCCATAATTGGGCACAAATGCCTCTCAGAAAGAGTAAACCAAGGCCACCACCCTCTGCCGGCATAACCCAAATATTGCCATCTCTCATGTCTCCAATGTCACTCACTGGCATGGATATGAAAGCTAGGCTCCGCTTATCCAAATCAAATTCAAGGATTTGTTGCGAATTCCCATAACCATAAAGCAACCAATAAAAGGAACCCCCAACCATCACAGCAGGCATGCCCGTGTAAACCATGGTCGGAAAACCAGAATCGTCTGATGGAAGCGGTGTTGAGATGAGCTTGTCCCATACACCGGTCACTGACGAGTAAACAGAGGCTACCGCTTGTGTGCTTTGAATATCGCTGTTGCCTACCAAGACCACCTGGAAATGGATATCTCCAGGAACACGAAGTACCGCCGCACTGATTGACTCGATGTGGAACCCTGGAGGAATGTCCAGGAGGTGCTGGTCGCCGGTTATGGGGTCCCACACCAGGAGCTTCCTCTGCGAGGCTTTCTGCAAGGAGAGGGAGACGAGTACGAGGCCATGGCGGCATCCGAGGGGCCAGAAGCGGCTGCTGGCCTTGATTGGGAAGGAGAAGCGGGCTTCCGGGACGCGATTGGGGTGCTCCGGGGTAGGCTGGAAGCGAACCTCGCAAAAATTATTGACGAGCCAGCCGAGGAGGGGAGGGTTTCGGCGGTGGTGCGCGCGGAAGCGGCCGGAGAAGCCGGGGTCGGAGGCGAGGCTGCGCCAGAACTTGCAGACGGCGGAGGCGCGAGGGAGGGATGAGGGCTGCGGGGGGAGGCGGAGGAGGATCTCGGCGAGCAGGTCGTCGTCATCCAGCGGCGGCCGCCGCCGAAGAGCGGGGGCGGCGGCGGGGGCTGCTCATTCTCTCGCGTGACTCTCTGGTGCGGGCTGGGAAGAGTGAAATGTGGAGAGCAGCAGAAGGCTTTGAAGTGGGCTACGGACTAAAGCCCACGAGTGTAAAGCGGATTTGATTTGGTGCACCTCTTCACTGTTTTTGAAATTTGGCAGATAAAAACCTCAAAAACCCCTATATCAAAAGATAAAAACCTAAACAACAACATATCGTGATAAATGAAAACCGTGCATGTAAAAAAAAAATCACCTGCAATCTGCAGAACTTGGGTATTATTTTTTTCCAAACGTAGCTCTTATTTTTTTGAAAGCTTTCATTTTTTTTCTCGAATATGCACGAGTGTGCATATCATATATTATATTTTTAAAAGCTTTCATAATGTAGCTCTATTCCCATAGAAATATTGGTTCGAGCGAGTTAGAAATGGGGAATGAGAGTTGAGGAGTGAGGAGATTAAAAGTCATTTGATTGTTTCGAGAAAATGGTAATTTAAGTGAGAAGGGAATGGGAGTTGAGAGGGTCAATTCCCACCGTTTTTTTCTCATGGGGTACCCTGTTAATTTGTGGGTAGAGCGCTATCCCAATCTAATTCTCAACTTATACCAAACAATGGAATGAGAGTAAAAATTTATTTCTCGTGTCTAATCCCTGTACAATCTCTCACGTGCAAACTCTCATTCCCCTGCCCCAATGATTACCAAACAAACTGTTGGTTCCATATGTACGTCAACCAAATTTTTTATCCATGCATATTTAGTTTTGTGTGCTATACAAGAAAGATAAATAAGTGGATTGCTATTTATTATTATGAGCCTACAAAATCAACTTTTTTTAATGTACCTTACAAATTGGCATGTTTTCCAATACAATTTTTTAGATATGTAGAATAATTCACCTGTGTCCGTGGATTTTTCTCATAGTCGTTTCTAAATGCACATATTTGTTGGAAAACATCAGGATCTAGAGCTCAGGGGTGAAAAATGCCGTACTCCTCTATTTTCATACGGTGTTCCTTCATTGTCGATGCCCGTGAACTCGTGTGCTTTGGTTCCACATATCTTTTGTTCAAGATCCATCGTGCACGTCCAGTCGTTGGAAGCACCAGAGGGATCAAATTATTCCAGACGGCGCCCTAAAGAGGGGAACGATGTTGAAAACGACGCCACTGCCCTACCCTGTAGCTGGATTTGGGCTTTCACCCAAAGGACTTGATCCGGGAGTAGAGGCTATGGAGATTCCCGACGACACCTCCAAGGAGGATAGTGACGCCCACAAGCGCCGTTGTCGTC